AACGCGAGCCAATTTCACAATCCCTCGCGCGTTCCGTTTTTCCTTCTCCAAGTTCANATAAACGATGGGTGACGTCAGTATGACATCAGTGATCCATATCGTCGTAATACCGTAAACCACCTTCGCGCGTACGTGTGCGCGCGTGTGCAAGGGGATAATATCGTGGTCTTTACTTAATACCTGGACAACGATGCAACGGCAGGTAGAGGAGAAGGAGGAGGAGGAGGAGGAGGGGACCGCCGCCCCTCGAAGACAAACGAGCGCGGGAACGCGAGGACGACGAACGCGGGAGAGAATGGCGCGAAAGAAGAAAAGAAGAAAAGGAGGAAGAAAGAAAGGAGCGGACGCCGGAATTGGCGGGAACGGGGGGCGAGGGATCGAGGTTAACGCGCAACCCTGCCAACTCTTCCAATCTGCGGGCATCGCGCGGTTTATGGGTGGGGTCGTTCTCCTCTCCTCCCCTCCCCTCCCCGCGCCAAATGCAAATCTTCCCGCTAATCCGTCTGGCGCATCCAGTGACGTCGAATTCCATTGGCGGAGATACCGATCGCGATCCAGCTCGACCCGATTTTCCCTTTCGAATCGCGGAAACGCGATCGCGTGGAGCAGATGGAGAAGGAAAAGATACGCGTTTTATCGCATCGCGCGTAATTTTTCGCGTTGCAAATGGGAATAGGGGATAACGAGCCGCTTAGTCGACGAAAGATTATTGGTATATCGATAGTAAAGGTTAATGGATATACGCGATATCGTATCGCCGGGAGGAGAAAGCTCTCGACGCCTCTGCGCGCTATTCTCGACGACCCTCCGCCGCGCGCTGCGTATCGTATTAAATGTTGCGTGCCGTGCATAACCTGCCTCTTCCTATCTTGCCCACCGTGTATTCGCGCCTGTAGTACCGCGATATTGTTGTCGTAGGTGCGGACGAGGATGCTACACCTTCGGTGTTCAAACACCATTTCTGCGTACGCGCGTTCACGCGCGTGCACCGCGCCTGTACATGTACGCGTATGCAAGTATACGTATGGAGATTCGGAGAGGAGGTGTAGAAGGAGAGATGCAGGAACGCGTCCCACTTACCATTTTCAATGACATCGCGCTAACCAAACGTATTCGTATCGTATTCCACGCGTACGTACAAGCTTTGACGCGGTTACCATTATTCCTATTAATTATACCGCGTGTTCTCGAAGAAAAGGAAAAAAAACCGACGAAGAAATCCGTTCGACGATGGAATATTCAATGATATTATTCATAAAAGTGTATAAATTAACTCCTACGAGCGATGTTACTTTCTTTTTCCCCTCTCTCTCTCTCTCTCTCTCTTTTTAAATATAACGCAAATATTCCGTTGTTATCTGTACAAATAAATGGGAGATATTCGGTCCGAGTACAAGTGTTTCTCGGAGAAGAAAAGTACGCGCTACACTTTTGCTCGTTTCGTTTGCAAAGGTGCAACCTCACATTTATTAATGTCTTTCCGTGACGCGTTCGCCTCGTACACGCGATTCCTCGCGCGACACGTACGTGTGACGGAGCGCATACTTATCTTCCAGGTCCCGTCGCCGTTACTTTACCAGACCCAAACGCGAAATACTCTCCCATTGTTGTATCGAGCGACTCGCTCCCACACTCGTGGCCGGCAATGATATCGCGTTCCTTCTTCCAACGCGATCTGCCTCTCCTTCCATCTCTCCCCCTCCCCCTCCCCC